GCAGCTCTGCTCTGCCCATGGGCGAGCTGTGCTGTGCAACACGGCCTTCAGGACATGTTTATTGCCCAACCTGGGCAGCATGGGACCTCCTCTGGGAACCGGGATGCCCACAGCCTTGCCCCTTTGCTGGGGATGTCCAGCACCATGCTGGAGCCATGGGTCTCCCAAAGCCACCAATGTGTCCCCACAGCTGGAGTCGAACAGCTCTGCTCTGCCCATGGGCGAGCTGTGCTGTGCAACACGGCCTTCAGGACATGTTTATTGCCCAACCTGGGCAGCATGGGACCTCCTCTGGGAACCGGGATGCCCACAGCCTTGCCCCTTTGCTGGGGATGTCCAGCACCATGCTGGAGCCATGGGTCTCCCAAAGCCACCAATGTGTCCCCACAGCTGGAGTCGAAGGCAGGCAAAGGGATAGTGGAGCGCGCGCTACCGGACTGGAAGGTGGCATTGAAGAGGGAACGTGAGGAGCACCAGCATCTCCTAGCCGAGTCCTACAGTGCCGTCATGGACCTCACCAAGCAGCTGCAGATCAGTGAGAAGAACTGGAACCAGGAGAAAGTGGAGCTGCTGGCCCGCTTCAAGGAGGAGCAGCAGCAGGCAGAGCAGCAAGCGAAGGACCTGCAGAACAAAATCAACCAGGTATGGTGTCCCCCCATCGTGAACGCGTCCTCCAGCCTCTGCCACTTGATCCCCGTGTGTACCCCAAGAGCATGCAAACGCTCTCAGGGCACGCACTGGGGACAAGCAGCAAATGCTTTTGCTTGCCCAGAGGGGCACATGTTGCACACGTTGAGTGACTGCCACGTTCTCCAGTTGCAGAAAGGAGCCAACCCATGGGCATTGAAGCATTCTGAAATGGAGAAGCACGGCAGCAACTGGAAGGAGGTGGGCAAGAGAAGGCAGAGGGCTCTCAGAGTGCTCGTTGGGCTCAGGTCTATGCTAAGGGTTAGATGGGAGGTCGTGTGAACCCCAAATAACACCCCCTTGAACAGCAAATGAGGCTGCAAGGGGGAGCACCAGGGATTGGGGAGAATGAGAGGGTGGAGACCGTGGCTGAACCCCAAGGGCTTCAGTGGGCTTATAAAAAGTTGATTGAAAATAGACGTGGGCACAGTGAGCCCCATGTAGCGCTGGGAATGGGATGCCAGGCCTGGGTGCATGGGGGAAGGTGGTAGTGCTGGAGAGGAACAGGGTGCAGCCCCTGCCCCAGCCCATCTGTGTACTTTGGTCCTGTGCTTGCTGACACCACAGCTTTCTTCTGTGTCCTCCTAGGCTCTCAATGAAAAAATCACAGACAAAGAGACAATCTCTGAAGCAGAAGCTAAGGGAACCAACCTCAAAAGGTGAGTGCACTGGTGCCTGCACAGTCCCCAGGGCACGGAGGAGGACTTGGCAGCCCCGGCAGCTGGGGGGAGATGCAGCCGTGGTCCAGGGTTGTCCCAGAGGCCAGTGGCTCCCACAAGGAGCTGGACTGGGTGCCCAGGAGGGTCCCGTTGGGGTGGGAGCGGGGTGCATCCAGCTGCCTCCCAACCCACTGCCCTGTCCCCTTGTGAGCCCTGTCCTCTCTCCTCCCACAGGACCAAGTCCGTTTCCTCCATGTCAGAGTTTGAGAGCTTGCTCGACTGTTCTCCCTACCTCCCTGGAAAGACTGCGCCAGGGCTGGGCGACCATTCCCGGGGCAAAAAGGCATCTGCGGCCACCCAGCTGTTGCCCAACGGGATCCGGGACAGTGCTGGTGTTCCTCCCTCAAATTGTACATATGTGAATATTGAGCAACCTGCTCCTGACAGCCTGGCCAAGGAGAAGCTGGGCATCTCCTCCTGGGACTACTCGCGGGCAAGCAGCCTCTCCGGGCACGACCCAGCCCAGAAGCAAATGCAGAGGAGCTACACGGCGCCCGACAAGACGGGGATCCGCATCTACTACAGCCCGCCAGTGGTGCGGCGGCTGGAGGCACCTCTGGTGCACAGCAAGGAGGGGAAGATCATGATTGAACCCGGTTTCTTGTTCACCATGGCCAAGCCGAAGGAGCCAGAGGAGTCGGCCAGCGCTGAGAGCACCTACAGCCAGTGGCTGTGTAACTTCTCCAAGCAGCAGCGGGAGCTGCTGGACAGTGGCACGGTGGAGAGCGTGGTGCCGCCGGTGCCCCACTTTCCCCCATCGCTGCACGACCTGGAGATCTCCGGCAACATGAGCGACGACATGAAGGAGATCACCAACTGCGTGCGGCAGGCCATCCGCTCCAGCTCTCTGGAGAGGAAGGTGAAAAGCACCTCCAGCCAGACAGTGGGGCTGGCCCATGTGGGGACGCAGACCATCCAGACGGTGAGCGTCGGCCTGCAGACTGACCTGCCGCGCGGCAGCGGCATGCACGGCAAGAGCTGGTCCCCACGCAGCTCCTCCCTTGTGTCCGTGCGCAGCAAGCAGATCTCCTCCTCCCTGGATAAGGTCCACTCCAGGATCGAGCGGCCATGCTGCTCCCCAAAATACGGCTCTCCAAAGCTCCAGAGGAGGTCTTCCTCCAAGCTGGATGCGTCCAAGGACAGGAGCCTCTGGAACCTCCACCAGAGCAAGCAGAACGGCTCTGCCTGGGCCCGCTCCACC